CCTGCTTTGTTAACGTTTTCAACTTTGCTTTTTCTCTTCTAAGGTCCCCACGTTCACGCTCAATGTAGTTCGGGATGGGACTTCATCGTGTTGCAAGGACCATATAACAAAGTCACGGAAGTCCTCGTTTTCCCACAAATCGCAATGACGCTCCTCTTCACAACATCTTCACCAACTTCATTCGAGATGCATTTTGGTCAAATTTAGAAATAGTTGGTGAAGGGATAACACTAACTTCTATAGTTGAGGATAAAAGATTTTGGCTTTTGAATGCTTCTCTATTAGGATTTTCTTTGCATCTCGCCAAATGATTCCTCATCCCGCTTGTTTTAGTCAAATATTTAATCAAATCACCACAATATTGCATTTTTCCTTCTTCTCAGAATAAGGTTTTTATTTAGTAAAATGTCCCCAAACATCTGATCGACCTTTACTATTCTCAGTTGACGATGAATCGATACAAGGAGGTAAATATCCATTGTGAATTATTTGTGTTAGGGTTTCCTAATTCTACCATTTCCGACATTCACGTCACTACTTAATTAAGAGGTCATCAACAAAAGGCATTTATCTACATGATGATGAGATTAGGGTCTGAAACCAATTCAGAATCCATCACGACACATGATGAAAGTGTTGGGATAAACCTTTGGCGAAAACAAATTCGAAATTTCCAAGAAGGTGTCGGAATGGGATGTCAGAGTAATTTCATTTACTAGATCTGGATGCTAATATAATGATCAAAACCATTATTAGTGGCATTCATCTACTTTAATACTCAAATCAGATACCCGTATATTTTATAAATCCCTCCTGTTTTTTATTTATGAAGAGAAAACCCTATCCTTTTAAAGATTCATATCTTGAAGAACGGCTATTGGACAGACACCCAAAGCACCAACAAAGTTCTAAAAATCCTTAAGAAGGTCCATCTAACCTTTAAACAAGGAGCACACTCAAATCACTCCCACACATACACCACATAGTCTATAGATTATGGAACTGAATAAATACATAATAAATATCATTTCTAATTTGAACTTTAGCATTAACAGAGTCACAGGTTCCTTATTCTCCCAATGGCCTTATTCATTTAAATAGTTGAACAACATCAACTCTTTTCCAGAATTGCACCTACTTAAAATAGCCACAAAACATCACATTGAAATCATAAAACACCCATTAAACACTACTTTCACTTCCTATGAACCTGGAAATTTAATTCATAATTTTTTTAATGTATGAACTAAATCCAATTTCAACTATTTAGAATAATTTTATTTAGGCTCTTAATATATTAACGATAAATATAGTAGTATAATGTACCTCTGTTTTGAAACCTGGACCTCTTGGTGTTGTTCGTTGTTATAGGCAAAGCCACGTCAATGTAAAGAGCAAATGAAGTAAAGTACTACTGGTGGGAGTTTTAATTATTATTAACAATCTGTTACAAACCTGTTCTATAAAAATGCCTACCCATAAGAAATTTTTCAATATTTATGATGTCCTGGGTTTTTTTGGACTACAAAGCATAAAGCCACTCAGCCCCCCACTCACTACCACACTTCCCCTGAATTCTAAGCAACCACTGACCACCTCGCAGCAATGGTTAAAGAAAGACACAAGCCTTTCGCCTAGGCTGCAAATGGCCCCCCAGATTTTGATCCCAATGCTCCTCCACCATTCAAGATTGCTAAAATAAGAGTAGCCATACCAGAACATTGATGGGTCAAGAACCCAAAGATATAAAATTACCTTATACAATAATGGCTAAAAATATAAAATTACCTGAGAAGCTGCAAGCCACTGAATTATGGTCTTTACTTCAGGAAATCATATGCCGGAAAATTTTCTTCAGTCAATTCTAGCCCTAAACAACACCTAGCAATCAAGCTAAATACAAGTAAGAAGATGTTTGTGAAGAACCCTGCATTCTTTGTAAAATGCAATTATTTCGTAAATCATTTCAACACGAAAGGACTTTAGAAATCAAAATCAATAATCAGATGGTAAGAATAAACACAAGAAAAAAATACTGGAAGAACATTGATTCCCTCTGTCCACACAAACAGACACAAATATGCCAAGGTAAAAAATGTTGAAAATCACATCGAACAATTAATGCATTACGAAATTAACATCAACAATGTGACTAGGGTTCACACCAAAAGTCCACATCGGCCTTGTGAGCTCACCTTCCAAAGAATAAACTGATACAACCTTATTCTAAGACTCAATTTTGTTATCTCTTTTGAAAGGGAGAGGGAAAAACATTTGTACCTATGGGTTGCAGATTTGCTTCTCTTTCCAGTGAGAAGTGTTCTCAGAACCTTCAACAATGGTGGTAAAGCCTTCAACAGTTTGGCGACGGTAGAATGCGGCAAAGCCTTCAACAGCGGCGAACCTTTGACGATAGCGAGTCTTCGATGATAGCGAGTCTTCAATGACAACAAACCTTCGACGGGAACTGTCAACGGCGGTAACCTTCAATGGCGGCGAGCGAGACGAATGGAACGTAAGGAGAAGGACCAGCGAAAATTGTGATGGAGAAAGGAAATAGGAAAACCTAATTGAGATTGAGAAATTGCGATCGAGAAAGAAATTGGGAAAAACTGAAACCACGGTTAACTACAGTTAATTGTACTCAAAATAAAATAAGTTCAGTTTTTTTAAACTAAACTATTAATGAGTATAATTAGTTTTTAGTAAAAATAGTTTAAGTTTTTTAAGGTTTAAAAAAGTACAGATAAACTATAGTTTAAGTTTTTTAAGTTAACTATGTCCAGCCCTAAGTATAGGTAATTGGAACAAAAGCATTAACTCAAATAATCTCAGGACAGATCGTACAACAATTCATAACTTAACATTGTAATTTATAATTATGGGTTAGAAATGGACCAAACAACTTTTAAAAAAATATTTAATGTTGCTTAAGGTGTGTTCACTTGAGTGCAAATAATTGGGGGGAGACTGAGTGATTGAATTTGAGGAGATTTAAAAGTAAAATATGTGTTCTCTTTTTAAGGGATTTGGAGGTAAGGGTAGATTTAAAAGTAATTTTATACAAAGTTTGGTGAAAGATTTGACTGATGGTGCTAGATTACAAAAATATTTTAAAAACAAAAAATAAAATTATCAATTGTCTTAAATGGTATATTACATATAAAATGAATTTTACATATTATTAAGATATATTGGATATATACTATATCCATTTAACTATGGTCTTGCATTCATTGATATATACTAGGATGCAATTTACAAATTGTTCTGGATATTGATATATACTAGATGCATATTTCACAACATTAAAAGATATCTTACTATATTTTAGCTATATTAGACATTATTATTAGATAATATAATAATATAATGAAAATAGAATACATATATTTAGGGACTTATCATAATCACTTCGAATAAAAATATTAAGAATAAAAATATAATTTGGACACTTAAGATAATTAAAGTTAAAATAATTTTATTTTATTATATTATGAAAATAATGAGCTTTTATAAATATTTTGAAAATAAACCTAATTGACTTAGGTATGCCTTTTGTTAGATAGATTATTATTAGATATCCTATTTGTATTTTATCTTTATCTTTAATATTTAGTTAATTGTTATTACTCTTATTAGTAATTTTGACTTAGCTCATATTTATTCTATTATAAATAGAATATCTTATATTAGTTGTTACTATATTAGACACCTTCTATTTATATAGAAACTCTAGCCATTAGAAAAAAGAGATAGAAACCCTCAAGTGAGAGTGAGAAATTTGTCAACTAAAGATTTGTGAGAGCATAAGGGTATTATTGAAGGATATTGTTTATTTTAGGAAAAAGTCTTAACGGGAAACCCATTAAGGCGAAGCTTACATTCTTGTTTATTTTCTTGTTTTCCTTTGTTGCCTTGTTGTATATGTACATGATTAATTAAGTAAATGGGTGTTTGTTTTGGTATTATCCTGAATTCATTGATCAATTTATGATGATGTTGTAAAGAGAGCTTACCTTTCTTGTCATTTTGTTGGGTATGTCGTCGTGTTATTTTGTATGATGTTATGTTGTTTGGGTTTGTTGTCGTGTTTTTTTTGTATGATGTCATGTTGTGTGTATTTGGTCGAGCTAATTTATGATATTGTTGAGTCGTAGTGTTGTTTGGTCGTGTTATTTTGTTTCGTTGTCGAGTTGTGTGGTTGGTTGTGTGATGTTTGAACATGATTTTATTATGTGTCGTTGCTTGTATGTGTGTGAGGTTTAGATAAATTATTGTGGGGTTGTTTCGTCCTACCTAGTCAAATCCACGATAACTTTTTTTTTTTTTTGTTGTTGCGATGTAGGAAGCGTTTCTTTTTTGTCTTGTGTACAAAAAGAGAGTGGATTCAGTTGCTTCACCTTCTTTGTATGAGGGAGATTTTTTTTTGCTTGGTCCTCCCCTCCGACTCGTTGCGATTATTAGTGTTAGACAATCATTTATACGTCTAAATGCCTCATGTTTTTTGAAGTTCAAACCAAATAAACATTAAACACAAAATAATAATATGGAAAATACATAGGAAGAAAACATAAGGAAACCCTTTAGGAAAACACTTGATTTAAGAAAGAAAAAACAACTGATCACAGCACCTAGAACATTATGTTAACGACGGTTTAAGACACAAGTGTCTAAGAGAGTTGAAGCTAACGCATAAAACTTATATCCCCAATGGGCGGTTTTTGTTTTTTTTTGTTTGTAAAAGGAATTGTAATTTTTTGTAAAGGATTATTGTAATAAATTGATTTAGTTGTGTTTTTTTTAGAATTTTTTTTTTTTTTTTTTTTTTTCTTTAATTTTTTTTTTTTTTGCCTTTTTTTCTTTTTCGTTGTTGTGTTATTTTTTTCTTTTTTTTTTTTTCCTTTTTTTGTTTTTTTTTTTTTTTATTTTGATGGTTGTAGTTTTATTTTTTTTTTTTTTTCTTTTTTCAGTATAACTCTGGGGAAAACAAAACAAATGTTGTTACAAAGTTTAGTCCATGTCTTAACCAGAAGGATGTTATTGATTTCCCTTTATAAAAATGTTCTTTAAACCTTTTTTAAAATCTTTGAAAGTTTTCTGGAATGGCAATCAACAAGAATATGAACAAATAAAAGAGAAGGGATGAATATGCAACATAGAATTGATACTGGTTCGGTCAAGCCTAGATCCAGTATCCTTCACCATTGGTGAATTTTCAAAATGAGCATATGTATTAATTTTCAAAACATTTTTTTAACAATAAAACCAAAAAAATGCAACAAATGACATCTCAGATATCATAATATGATTTAGAATAACAATAATGGAACATTTACAGCATGAATATCAGCACAGTTATAAGCATTTAAACCTATTTATATTGTTAAACGATTAGCTCGGTATCAACGCAATTAACATACTTGTCAGAGCGATATTTTACCAAATTATGGATCTTTTTAATTTGTTAAATCGTGAAGTTTGTCCAAATAACACAGTTTTTGACTGTAAAAGTTAGTAGAATCATTGACCACCTGCAAACACAACTTTCTTGATATGGTGGCAATGTTAGTACCATTAATTATGATACTATCAAGTGTGAAGCACATTTATGACATTATGAATATGACTGAGCCATGATCATGCAAACCGTGTATAGCTTCATAACAATGCAAAAATCATTTAATCATTTCATCAAATGATTTCACTAATTCCATCTAGTTTCAAACATCCAATCATCATGCTAAGATTGCATTTACCATAACACCAGAAAGTGGAATCATCAAATATCATTCACCCAAATAAGATCCAAACACCAACAATCAGACATAGATGAAATTGTCAAAGCCGTAGGCTTAAATGGCGAAAAATTACATTTATCTCAGATTAACAGAACTAATACTAATTAAACTAAGTTCACTATATCATATCCCTAGGTAAGATATCATCATCATTTCATCAGGAATACTATCCTCCTCCCCATCATTAGCAACAACCTCATCATTCTCTTCTTCATCATCATCTAAATTCTAGATGCCAAGCTTCTCTTTGATAGTAGTTATGTCTTTGTTGAGCTTGTCAAACTAAGATGTGTAGAGGGTATTGAGAGGATGCATATGTTTGACCATAGATTTCTCAAATTCTGACTTAGGTAGGAAAATTTTAGTAGATGATCCAGCAGGGGTCTCTTCATCCAGATTTTCATCTTTGAATGTCCATCTATTTGGTCCATGTCGAAGATTCATATGATGCAAGGCAGTTTTATCAATAATGTTCCTCTTATTGTATGTTTCACACAACTCTTCAACCATCAACCTCAAAGTCCATGCACCAACACTTATTGAGATGAAAACACATAAGGTGACTCACCGATTTCAAGTTTGGTTATCTTGATCATATAAGCTATAGAGTAGCTGCCTTGTGAGTGCATATTTATGCCCCACAGTTATGCTTTAAAAATTAAATTTTTGATGAACTTATGTGCCTGAATAGATTGATTTAAAGACATTGGTGATTTTTGATCTATTTTGTTTTGGAATTAAACGGGACTTAAAAATGATTTTAATTGCATAAATTATTCTTGAAATTCTTACTGTTTTATTTGTGTCACTGAAAATTATAGTTTTATTGGTCTCATTTGGCAGTTCAGGCCCAAAATCAGGTTTTATTTGGAATAATGTAAGATTGGCGCAAACAGGCAGACTTATCCTTATTCAACCAAACCCACCTAAAAATCCCTACATACACCTATTTCTGAAACAGGCGCCCAATACTTAAGCCCAAAAGCCCACAAATATTCTAAATACACCTCCTAATTTTCTTGCCCATACCCCTCCTAAGCCAAACTTCACCAGCTCATGCCACGTGGCAGTCCATCACTAACAGATTGAACCACTCAGATGATGCCACATCATTGATCCTTGAACTCACTAGTGAACCACTCAAAACATGCCACGTCAGCCTTGTATTCTCTGATAGAGAAACCCTAATCCAGCCTAACCCTAGCCGCCACTGTCGTGCCGCCGCCGCAAGCCCAACACCACTATCGTGCCGCCGTCACCACCGTCGCACATCCACAACTACCATCAGTCACCATGTGTCACCGCGCTGCAATCGCGCCACCGTTTCCACCACCACGCCACGACCTCCGTTCATCTTCTTCCTTCTCGGAACCAAATCGCGCCACCATCTCCATGCCGCCGTGAAGCCATCGCACCTGCACTCAGAAAAAACCCCACCATCGCGAGACCTAGCCACTGCTCTATCACGAGTTTCGTCGTGCCATCCGCAACTGGACCACCACGGTAAACCCAAAAGCACACGCTCTTTTCTTCCTCGCCGCATCATCGCACCATCTTCATCTTCTCCATTCTCGGAACCCAATTGCATCTTCCATCAACGCCAACCTCCCTCCGCATCAAAAACCCCGGGAAATCTGAACGCGAACCGCTGCTATCCCCATCATCACACGCACCTGCATTCAGAAAACCTAGAGACAAGAGCATATCACCACCGCGAAGGCGAAAGCATAGAGAAGAACGCGTTCTCGCGGCAGCACAGGAGCCTTCCTCAATCTGAAACCCTAATTTTGGGTGGGAAAGGGGCTGACACGTGTCAGTACCTCGTTGGTGCGTCCTTCTCGGGTCAAAGCTGGTCAACTAAGGGGATTTCTTGCAATTTCAAAAACTCAGAAGGGGCTAAAGTGCAGATAGAAGAAATTTCAAGGTATTTGTGCAATTTTGGAAAGTCATAAAAGCTAAAAGATAAAATTCAGTTGTTAAATTAATGTAATTTGGGAATATAACAGAAAATATCTTCCAAATAATGTTATAATTATCTAAATCTTTTAGTTATTTGGAAGATATAAGATAAAATATTTTATCAACTGAATAATCATAGTCCAAGCCGAATCAAGCCTTATATAAAGAGACCCAAGGGGAACTTCAATTCATTCATTCACCACTTCTCTCTCTCTTAGTTCATCTTGTATCCAACTCCATTCATGGGAGCTAAGCATCTAGGCCTTTCTGCTGTAATTCCATTATGGATCTAAGTTAGATTGAGTTAATGACAATTGTTTTATTTTGATTATTGATTTACGTTTGTTCCTCTATTTCTTTCATCTCTCTATCCAAATTAAAAGCAAAGATTTTTGCATCATAATGTGTTTGAATCTACATGCATATTGATTATATGAGTTCTAGGGTTTCTGGGTTTAATTGAGAATCTACTTTGATTTAATTTAGGAACTTTCATATGATTAAATGATTTTTACTATCAATTGAGAATGTACTTTGATTGATTATACGATTTCAACTATAATCCAATTGATAATTTACTTTGTTGATTAGCTTATAATTTGGGATTAGGAGATTGTAAGAATAGACTGATTAAACGCAATAGAAATTTTGATTGAGAATGTACTAAACGTGCTTATTTATCATCCTGGTCCTCTTCTATAAGTGATGAGTGTTTCCCATACTTTGGATGAAAGAACGAACGCAGTTTTGCTTTAGTTGTAGTTGGATCTCTTACTACAGCTGTGCTGAGGATACTGTGGATTGGGAGTCTGGTTTTACTGACAATTATTTTTCATTTGGTTTGATTTCTCATGGCATATGAACGTTTGTATCTTTTATGGTTTGATTGTATTTTTTGTTTTGCGATTTATGCTTTTTCATTTCGTTTTCTATTTCTATGATATCTCTATATTCATTTCTAAATTCCTATGCCTAAATTCTTTATTACTAAACAGTCTTATAAGTTTATAATCCTGGTCTCTTCTATAAGTGATTGAGTGTTCCCATACTTTGGGAATGAGAACTGCTGTTTGTTTAAGTTATTTGGATCTCTTACTACAGTTGTGCTGAGGATACTGTGGATTGGGAGTCTGGTTTTACTGACAATTATTTTTTTTATAGTTACATAGGTTCCGAAGCTTTTAAGTTTGTTGTTGAAATTTGAGAGTGATGTTTTATTTTATAATAATGCAGAGGTTTATGGGTGTATTCTGGCTTGTAATATAAAGATTTTTGGAGGAGGACTCTATTTTGACTTAGCATTGTGCATATAAATGTGATGTTGTTTTGCCTTTTCCTTTTATATGTTGTCTGGGGTAAATTAACCCTCTTTTTCTGACAAACATGTTATCCTGTAGATTGATATTCTTTTATTTGTATGTAATTTTGCAGGAACCTCCCAGGGCCAGACGATATGCTAGTTTTGGACATTGCTTATTCAATTTATAAACAATTTGAAGAATATCCAAATGCACTCACAAATTGCATTGTTACATGGATAACATCCAGGTTGTAGATATGAATTCTTACCGTGTCCGTTTAACACTGGAGTTTTGCATCATTCTCATAGTAATGCATCACACTGTACCTTCATGTGAAAAGCAACTATTTGTTGCACGAGTTCCATGAGATCATCTATAGGAGTCTCTTCACTCTGTAAAAGCATTTCATATCAAACAGAAACAGAAAACAATTAGATAAATTTTAATAGTTCACACCAGTCATCTTAAATACAGATCATGGGGAGCCAAGGGATGATAAACTACTTCATTGTACAAACATCTAGACTACGGTTGACGGCATATAAAGTAAATTATTAAATGAAATAGAGAAGGTGATTCATGCTAACTCATTGGACTAATTTAAATATCAAAATTTAAAGTAGCCAAATATTCAACCTGCCGTTTGGCATATTCTTGTGCAATCTCTCCGGCCAGATTCCTGATAAAAATACATAAATAGTAAGATTAATGATAACTCCTCAGTCAGACTTCAATCACTAGAATTGTAACTTTTCTAGTAATTATCTTCGATAATGATAACAAAAAGTCCCAAACATTATTCTCACCTAACATACTCATGGCCCCAGGAACCAATATCGCCCTCTGAACCTAGTAATCTATACTTGAGGCTTTCCTGACAGAGCCATAGGAAATAATCAATACAAAAACCGATTTATAAAGGCCCAAAAAGGCATCTAAATGAAAGGACACCACCATGCTGGAACACAACCAAACCAAGACAATCACGAAATATATTTTCAATTCCTAACAAAGCAAACTAACTTACTCGTTCTCCTTCGGCAGACATTGTGAGCGCCAAAACCGACAATATATCTGCAAGGTACTTCTGCATTGAGGAACGACAACTAGGTTAACCAACACTACAAAAACCATACTACTACTATCCCGTACTAAGGTAGCACCATATCCATAACAGTACCTTCAAATCAGACTCCGCCATAGTTTCATAATACGTCTTAAGAGTTCCATAATGCGGGCGAAGAAACTTCAAGGGTTTAGGAACGGAAGTCATAGAGCTCGTGGAAGTTCGAATTTCTTGCCTACAACAAAACCACGCATTTGAATTCTAAATACGCAATCAATTCTTCTTAATAAAAAAAAAGGTAAAAATCCCCTTCCAAATAAAAATTTGTTCTTTAGAGCATATTACTAGGTTTACCTCATGCTCTCGAGTGCAACCTTTTGCAATCCCGGGTCGGCATCTTGAACCCTCTCCACGTAAAGGTCTAGCTGCTGCTTCAACGCCAAATCCTCGTCGGACTGCACAAATTGCCACATCGATTTTCATTTCTAACTTACAAGAAATAGCCTAACAGGCATGAAAGTTAAGAAAGTAGTGGAATTTTGATGCATGGCTTTTGAACTTACTAGATCTTCGTTCTCGACCTTCTTCTTTGAAACGGCGTCGTCTTTGGCCGCACTGGTGCTGGCGCTGGTGCCGGCGCGGTTAGGATCGGGCGCCATCGAAGAAATTGGAAACCCTAAAAATGACTGAGGAAGGAAAGGGGGTTGAACTTCGACGGAAAAGAGATGAAAATCTCGCGTGCGGAGTGTTGTGGTGCCACAAAATTAAGGAAAGTAGCACTTTGGAGCATATAACAATCGAAGGTTTCTTGCTGCCGAGGATTTTGTCATATTAATGGGCCTTCACCCATTCCGCAAAGGCCCAGCAAGAAACTCATCGATTTCTTAAAAAATTCGACACAGTGTAATTCATTATTTTTTATTATTTTATTAGTATTATTTTCTAATAATAAAGAAAATACCAAAGAAAATTTTTGAGGGGAAACGTAATTAGCATAAATTTGGGGTTGGTTAATGTTGTAAATAAGTGCATAATGCATATTAAATTATGGATCATTCATTAGCACAAGGATTTTTTCTCAAAGTAATTTAACAATATTTAATTGGATTATGTTATTTTAAATTTAAGGTTTAATACCTATTTTGGTCCCTCGGTTTATAGGGTGTGTTCAAAGTTGTCCTTCCTTTTTTTAAAAGTTCACAACCGTCCTATATTTTGCAAAAACGGTTCACGTTAGTCCTTTTTCCTTACGGCGTTAAAAAAATTAACGGCAGAGTTGTCTACGTGGCAAAACCTGAATGAGCTGTACAATTTCTTATTACGTGGCATTGCTTTGCATTTCCCGTACTCTTCTGCAGCTTCCTCCTTCTCCTCCTCTAAAAACCTCTATCTAGTGGAAAAACTTTCTCTCTCCACTTCCTCAAACTCCACCATTTCTTCCTACCTTTGCGCCTTCACCCTGCACCTCACCTCGTCGGAACAAAACTGTCTTTTAAAAGGAAATTATTTACTTAATTTTCAAATTTAGTTAAGAGGTATTAGGAGACAAACATGTGAAAGAGAAGAGGCACAAGGAAGGGTTGAGGGAGGAGAGAGACTTCGAATGGACCTTCGAATGGAACCCACTTCGCACTTCCAAATCACCAAACGCTTCCAAATCACCAAACGCGTTCTGCTTTCAAAAGCCCCATTGCGATTTTCACCCTTTCTGATCTCAGAAACACTCTCTCAAATATCTCAAATGCCCTAATTAGTTTTCGTCACAAATACAAATACCCTAAATGACACGTCATTACCACTACTGGACTCATTTGCCACGTTTTACTTCTCTAGTGCCAAATAATCAACCACTTAACGCAGTTAGTGTGTATTTAACGGAGATTACTACATTGACACAATTTTTTCAATGTTTGGATTCAATTGACACTTTTACACCACGTGAGGATGACAATGAAACTTTTTAAAAATGAGGATGAATTGACACAATTCAACCAAACTGGGGACAAGGAAGCAATTAAACCTAATATATGTTATATATATGCGTGACATAGTATATATATTAAATATATGTAACATATTTATACGTAATATTATATATTATATTATATATTAGATTGGTGCATGCAGTGGCTATATATATACATATTATATATACGTAATATAAATTATTTTGGTGTTTTATAAATGCTTGGAGGGTTATACGTCACTTAATATTATAACATATATTGTATAGGAGTTTAGGTATTTGAAATAAATTATAAAGATTCTGGTATGAGAATTAGATTAAATTTATGGAGCTATTACTTTATAACTTGTGATGATTGAGTTATGTATATTGTTGAGGTTATGTTAATTGTTGTATGCAATGTAAAAGTGAAAGGTTATATGTATATGGTTTATATGGGTCATGGTTGGTTATATGGTTGATGGACGTAATCCATGATCCAAGGAGGTGACATGGTGGTGCCCTGTGGTTGTTGTGATTGACCGTATGAATGGGCGGAGTGTCCTTGGGGTTTATCCTGACATTCTAATGATCATCCATGCTCAAGTAGAGAGTGATGAGTCATGTGGTGAGAATAGCAGGAGGCCTAGCCCATAGGTTCTTGGGTGAGTTATAACGACTAACCTCGGGTGGCAGCTGATGGTTTTCCAGTTCTACATCACCCGGGTGCACAAACCCCTGGAACTTGACATTTCATACTGTCCGGATGGCCAAATCACGTTCGGTCATTGGTATCAGGATAGCATGCGTCCTAGTTTGTATTGTGTTATGATCCTTGCATGCGTGAAATACTTGATTGTTACATGCTTATATAAATGTTAATTGATATGGGTTGGTATATTTTTATAACTAGCTCACCCTTGCTTATGGTGTTTGTGCCTTCTTTGTCTGTGTTTCTTTTGCGATGATCATCCACTTGGATGTGAGTAGAGGGAGATGAGGCATCTGTGGAGTAGGAGCTGGAGGGTGCCAATGCTGTTGAGTAGCCTAGGAGCTTATAGATTTACCTACTTCTATTCTTTTGAAATACTCTACTCTTGTAATTCAAGTTTTAATTTCCTAGCTCTTTTGGAAGGATAAATGTAATTCTATTGCCCTAATCACTTGTCCTAACTGCTTTATCGTATTATACTTGATGACGTCTTATTTATATAATTCCTATATAATTGGGATGTTACATTTCCCGTTAATTTATGTGTTTATTTATGTTCGGAAACCCTCCTTGTAATTCTCTAGTGTCGGCCGACGTGCTATGCTCACATGGTTTAAGAAAGGAATCGAGGCAAACGGGCTTTTAATATTGTCTTGGTAATGAAAAGTGTGCAAATGGTGATGTAAGCAGAGATTTAATTTATATCTAATTTGGCGTTGTTCTTATCAGGATAATTCACATTTTGCAGCTATCATAACTGTTTTCCACTTTTCCTCTGATATGGATTTATCTCCACTTCTTGCAGGTCTCTTAATGGATGATTCCTTGCGAAGCAAAGGTCATCCTTAATCATTATCGATTTCCTACACCTGGTGTATCTCTTTAGAATGGAACGCCTTCTATGACAAAACCTGGAACTACTAAATCTCTTTGGTTCATCTTGGTGGAAAAGGGGAAAACAACCAATAATCAGAAATTCATTAGGAGTGTTTGATTGCATTTCAATTTAACCACCCGACATAGCTTGCTTTAGGTCTCACTAACATCTGTTGACTTGAAGAACATTAAGGATAGTTTCCATGTTCAAATTGTTACTCTTCCGAGCTGTCATGGCGCGCCGGTAATGGTGCTCAGGAAAGGTTTGCATTGAGGATCTTTGTAAAGAACGCCTTTTGTCTTTGGTGAATTGTTGTTACATCTTACCTAGAAGTTTGTTTTGTAGGTAGTGCTAACTGCTGAAGTAGAGTCACTTCGATAAGAACTTGCTGACATAGAAGAGAGGGAAGCTTAATTGAAAGCTCGGTAGTTTTCTGAGCCTTGGACAACTGTTGTATTTTCTTTCTTACAATGTAATATGAGTTTTCATGTAGCACTTTGCTGTGTCACCTTTCTTCTCGTGTTTTGATTGGACAACCAATGATGTTGAATATAACAAAGCTAGGAATTCAGATGCTACCATAGATTTATAGTCTATACGTGTGTGAATATTTGCATTGTAAAAGTAGATGAAGTTTAATTCCTTTTTTTTTTTTTTTCCCTATGTCAACTCCTTCGTACTTATTCTTCCAACTATAACAGAGAAAAAACTAAACAGGAGAGAGAAAAACTGGGCAGTTAGAGGAGAGAAGAGAAAAAGTATGTCACATCAGCATGAAGTTAACGTCGTTGCTGTCAACTTAACGAACAAGATCTTTTCATACAATTTTCAAACATAGGGACCCCAATGTCTTCATTTTTAAAACCGAGTACTAAACAGAAATTCCCTCTGAACATGTGACGAAGTAAGCATTTAAGCCTAAAAAAACACAAGCTCGAACCATCGTGGCAATAGAAGGAGATGTATAGTCTTATGCAATAAACTCAAAATAAAAAGAAAATCATCAACACTTTACACAACAAAGATTACATGCCAAATTCATAAAAATGAAAAATAAATATTAGATCATATATTTATAAATGATCCTTTAACAAAATTCGTTTTTCTTGATAAGTGATCATATTTGTAAATCAAGTTGATATAGTTTTCTTGCGCAATAAAAAAATACTCACAAAAGTTGAGAGTTACTTAGTGTAAAAAAAAATTCTAAGTCCTGGTTGAGAGGATTAACCAATAAAACTTGATTCACTATAAACAAAAAAGAGTAGAAAATACTTCTTGTTTAATGAGTTGACTACAATAAAACTCTTTGCAAATTAAAATAAAAATATTACATAAATTAAATTAAATAAATTATAAAAAAAGTATAAACCATAATTATATAAAATAATATAATTACTTATCTAAGTAAACCATCTGTAATTGTCTGATTAAATTAGGTTTAATACCTTTTGGTCCCTCGGTTTGTAGGGTGTGTTCAAAGTTGTCCTCCTTTTTTTAAAAGTTTACAACCGTCCTATATTTTGCAAAAACAGTTTAGTGGATCTTTTTGCTTACAGCGTTAAAAACTAACGGCAGGTGCTCTCCTGGCAAAAACAAAATGACCTTCCAATTAGTTGGCAAGCTCAGCCAATAAGACACTGGCACATGGCAGTCCCCTTTTCACTCAAAGCTTTATCACACTTCTTCATCTTCTTCAATCGCACGCTGCTTCCCAACCTAATCCCCTTTTCCCCTTTCGTGTTCAACGTTGAGGTTCTGAGATAAGAGAAATGAACTCGTTTTTAAGCTTTATGGTAGCTTCAGTTCATAAATAATTTAACCGATTTTATTTGTTTACTCATTTGTTTTCTGGGATAAACTCCACTATCTTCCAATCCCAATGTATCACCCTTGCCGTAACCAATCGCCGCGCCCCGTGCGCCTCCGCTCTCTCCACTACTACACTGTGCCCCATCTCCTTGCCCTTCCGCATGGATCACCACCCACTCGTTCACGTTCACTCCCATCGCACCCAGGGCGTGGTAGATGAGTGTGGTAGGTAGCCATGGGGAGGGCATCAACAATTTCAATCATTATAATCTTTACTCATATACGAGAAAGAGAGAGTATTACAAGATCTGAATATACAGTGGCACAGATCTGAGGAAATACAGTATTACAAGATGAAAATACAGTACACAAGTTCCCTTTTCCAAATTTAAATTCAATCACCTCGCCTTTAATTGTGTGCCATTGAGATGAACTGAACTA